TATGTGTATTTAAATATACCAGATATAGAATTATATGTAATATTATATGCAGTATATCATATACATATTAAATATATGCTATATATAATTTTATATTGATATAGATAACCATATGTATAGGTATATAATTACAAATCGTGTTAGATTGTATGAAAGAAAAGAACAGAGTTCAGGAAAAAATAGGGGAAGGCCTAATGTAGATTAATGAATCAGGGAATATTTGAATGGAAACCTGAAGAATTACTGGAGTAGACAGGTGAAGGGGATGGGGAAGATATCTCAACTAGAGGAAACAGGTTGTGCATAGGTACAGGCAGATGTGAAGGGTAGAAAAAGACTATATGCTTAGTGCATGGCAAGGGATAAGAGACTAAAATGAGATGCACCTTTAGAAGCAACTGAGGCTAGATTATTCTGAATGGGCCATGGAAAAGACAAATGTTATTCTACTTGCTGCAGAGTGATATAATAAAATTTAATTTTTAAATTATCATTATAGGATATAATAGGAATTCTAAGAATGAATTGGAGTTGTGCAAAATTGAAAGAACATAAAAAGCATTTCAGATGAGAGATGATGGAGGAAAGACCAGAGTGAAAGAAGTGGAGATGAAGAGAAAGAGATGGAGTTAAAATTTAATTTGGAGAGAAGACTGGCAAGGCTTAGTAATGGATTGTCCATAGCAGTTGAGGGAGAGGCTTGCTATTTTCTGGGTGAATGGTGGTGTCATTTCCTAAGACAAATAAGACTGGAAGAGGGTGGGTATTGTTTTGGGCTGGGGTGAGGGGAGAGCAAGAGTTCCATTTTAGACACATTAAGTTTGTGATGTCCAAGTGGACATCCAAGTGGACATGTCAAGTAGACATTTGGGTACACAGATCTGGAGCTGAGATATAAATTTGGAGGCTATGAATTTGGGAGTTATAATACAGATGGATTTAAAGCATAGGAATGGATGAGGATACTTAAAGAATGAAGACAGAGAAGAAGGTCAGATGCTGACCTTCAGCCTTTTTGGGGAATTTCAACATTTAAAAATCAGGCAGAAGAGGAAAAATCCACAATGGGGCATGAGAAGGAGGGACCAGACTGGTAGGAGAGAAACCCGGTGAGTGTGATATCAAAAAATCCAGGAGAAAAGGGTTTTAAGAAGCAAGTGCTCAAGAATGTTGAATGCTGCAAAGAAGCAGGAGAGAAGGGGTCTGAATGGCTCATTGTTTTTGACAACTAGGGGGTAACTTGTGGCCTTAGTGAGACCAGTTTCTATAACTGGACTGTGGTAGGTCAATCAGTGATGGGGTGGGTTCGGTTTTTTGTTTGTTTGTTTGTTTGTCTTCCAGAAGCTTAGTTGTGAGGGGGAACAGAGAAACAAAGATAAATAGAGACAGATGCAAGGGCAAAGAGATTATTCAAAAGATAGGAACTATGAGCACATGTCTGAATGCTGACAGGGAATAATGAGGGGAGAGAAGATGCCCAGGAAAAAAGGGATCCAAGGAGTTGAGGTCACTGCTTACTCTGTATCATGGTACTATGGTATTACATACATGAACCCACTTTAATACTTACAACACCACTAGAAATAAGTATCACAGCTGAAACACCTCTTTCCATTCCAAATAGCTAGGAAGTCCAGTGAGAATAGTTCCCGGCTTACTCATGTCTACTAGGAATATCCTTGGAGTTCAAAGGAAAGTGCAGATGTTTCTGTCCTGCTCCCCTTGTTTGTCTCCGGTCCCTGCCAACTTTGCTCTCAGCAGGGGCTCACGGACTCCTTCCTCCCTTGGTCTCCTTCTTTCTCATCCTCATTTCCACATCATCCTCTGCCCTCTCCCTCAGTCCTGACTTTGTGTCACTGTACTACTTTTACTTACATTAGTAAATTTTCTTTACATTATATCCCCCATTCTTGGGAAGCATCCATAAAGTTCACATGGCGCATCTTGGATTTACTCAATTAAATGACTGTTGTGCACTAGGTACTGTACTATACAGTGGTGAACAAACAGATATGGGGCTTATGTTCTAATGTGTGTGTATGTATGGAGGAGTACAAATTCTTGGTGATTGAACCAATAAATTATTTTTAAAAGATAATTTCAGGTTATGATGAATTCTATGGACAAAATAAACCAGAGTAATGTGATGCGGAACTGAATGTTTCCTTTAGATTGAGAGGTCAGGAAAGTTCTGAATACTAAGCTAAAAGACCCCTCTCCACTGAGGGTGAGGATGGAAACAAAGAGAACCCACTGTGACCTACTGGGGAGAATGATAAAAATCAAAAGAGTGAAGGGGAAGGGAATGTGGTCTAGCAACCTACTCCCATTTCACAGACAAAGATGCAGAGGGCAGTTACCTCATCTGCTCAAGGCCTTCTGACTCAAAAGGGATAACATTATGATTCCAGGCTCTGTCTAGTTATTTCCTGAATAAAAGTACCAGTTCTAAGCCTACAGCATTTCCCAGGAAGCCTCGAACAGACTAATTTACCTGGCTCTACAAGTGAGGCTATTACCAAAATAAGCATCTTTGGATGAAATTATGTATATGCAAAAGCACTGTGAACCTTTTGGAGACAGTGGACAATGTCAAATCAAGATTTTCACTGCCACACCATGTTATCATTGTGAAATGTCATTTTTTTAGATAGGTCTTAAAATTCTGCCAAAGGCCACTTAGTCTTTCCCTTCTCTTCTAGGAAGGAATGTGCCTAAATTTTCCCAGAAAGATGGGTGTTCCCTTCAGAGAAATAGATTGCTCAACCTTGCTCAGTGGCAGCCAACTACAGAAAATCATAATAATTAAGGCAGGAATTTTCTTTTTTTTTTTATATCCTACCAAAAGTATTACATGGAAATCCAAGACTCTGTATGGTGGTCTGTTCTTCACCATTGCAGAAAAGGATCTAGAAATTGCTTTTTTTTTTAAAGATTTTATTTATTTATTTGAGAGAGAGAGAGAGAGAAACAGCATGAGAGGGGAGAAGGTCAGAGGGAGAAGCAGGCTCCCCGCTGAGCCAGGAGCCTGATGTGGGACTCCATCCCAGGACTCCGGGATCATGACCTGAACCGAAGGCAGTCGCTTAACCAACTGATCCACCCAGGTGCCCTAGAAATTGCTTTTGCTTGATTGGTTTGACAGTCCCTCCAAGATTCCCACCAAATACCTGGGGTGTACCATGAGGTATAACTATGGAGCATGGCTTTGTAAAGTATGGAGAGGTGCTTCATCTTTTATCTTGAATACAGTTTAGGGGACTATAGTGGAAAGTTTATAAAGCCAAGAAATAGCCTACTTATTTTAAAAGAGCAAAGGGAATGAAATGATCATTACACGGTTAGAAAGTAAGATTTATGAGGAAAGATTAAAGAAGATGGGAAGAATGAATAGAAGGCTGAAGGTATCAGATGTCAGATTGGTGCTTGTTACTATTTCTTCCCCATTCCTGGGCTGGACCTCAGGTTCCCATAAAAATCTCCCAGAGTACCTCAAGGAATCTCTCCAAGCTCTGCTTCCTACCTCCATTCTATACCTCCTGCTTCTGGTGTCCAACTCCCTCTCCCATTTCTTCATGCCTGGTTTATTTCCCCCCACCAAAGCCTTTAGTTAATTGTCTTATTAAGCTGTGTTGTTTTCTCGCTCTCTACCCTTTTCATAAGAACCATTTGCCACTCCCATCTAGTGGTTAACTAAAGATGACCCTTCATGTTGGTGTCTGGCACATAGTTTTGCTTACTAAATATTTTTTGAATTGAATATTTACAACAATGTCTTTGCCACAGCTATCTTATGTTAGTCTGGTGCTTTGTGAATGAATGACACAGAGAGAGAAAACAGCAGGTCTCTATATTCACAGTAATTCCCAGTAGCTTGGTTTTCCCATTTCAGCTCCCATCCATGAAGATCTTTAGAATAACATAACATCAGTTTTCTCAGATTGGTATATTAGTTGGGACAGGCCAACTGCTATAACACAGAATGTCAAAACTGTAAAGTTTGAAATTTGGATTGGAAATCCAAAATAAAAGTTTGTCACTCATATTAGCCTGGCTGGCTGGCTTTACAGGTCAGCTGTCCTCCAAATAGCAGTGTAGGCTGTAGATCCTTTTTTTTTTTTGATCCTGAGACTTCTCCATTCAATGGGTACAAGGGGAAAAAAGAGAGAAATGTGTATGTGAGGCCTGGAAGTAGTATATGACTGTTCATATACTGTTCATTGTATTCATTCCATTGACTAACACCCAGTCACAGGCTACATCCAATTGGAAAAGTGGCTATGACATGTCACCCGGCAGGTACTTGGAAAGGAAGGAAAAATCATTTGGTGAACAACTAACTCATTGCTGGCGTAGATGTCATGAGTGAGCCTCTGTTTCTATTAATCAAATGACTATCACTAAAATGTTAAGATAAAGTATGGCCACCATAAAGGGCAAAGTCTTCAAAGAATCTTACCTTTGGGAAACCATTACATTTTGACATACAGGGTTAAGGAAATGAAGTCAAACATATGAAATTATACTGAAGGTTAAAATATACATGATTGATATACCAGAATTGTGACCCTGCCAATATATTAAATGTTTCTCATGCAAAACAATTAGGAATATTATAGTATCCACTAAAGACAATTCAGTCACACTTCTGCCGTTTTTGCAGGATATCTGACCCCTTCCCATTTCTCTCATTTTTAATATGTTCAGAAGAAGAAAAGTCCCTTTGTTTGATCTGCTTACATGTGTTATCACGAAAGAATGAATGAACAGATGAAAGAGTGAGAAAGAAAGGGGGGGAGGGAGGATAAATCATACTTAGTACATAAATACACCCACACTTATTTTTTATGGCTATTTTAGTGCTATTTTGTTAAACAATGGAGCTTATTAAATTTTGAGATTTTCCTCCCAACTGTGAAAAAAATAAACAGGCAGAATTTTATTTAAGTTTGTTTTGGCATCAGGTTTAATTATTTTTTCTTTTCTTTTGGTTATGCCAGTTTACTCCTCTATCAGTGTTAGCTCCTCGTACAGGAGTACTGTGGGCTTCTGGTGGAGCACATGTTAAAAATAATGAAAGAACAAGCAATTTACAAACACCAAAACCTGGAGGAGGTTTGGGAAGAAAAGCAGAGCCTGGAGAGAGTAAGTAGAAACAGAGCTACAAACCAGATTAAAGATCAAAGAACCCTACTTCTTCCTAAAACATTTAACTTTATAAAATACCATCCTGGGAGCGATATGACTCATTCAAATGGCATTATTGAGTGTGAGGATGGAAGGGACAGGAGGGGCTCAGAGGAGAACAAGTGGTCTACACCAGCAGTCTGGCAGATTTGATTCTGAAAATTCTGTTGGTATTTAAGAAACTAGAGCTTAATATCTTTCCATATAATCATTCTTCCCTTCCTTCCTCTTGTACAGAGCACCTCCGATGTGAGAGATGCTACGCAAGACACGACCCAGTCAATCCATCCTTTTGAGGAATATCAATTAACGTTGTCCAGCAGTTCAAGAACCTCAAGGCTGACTAACCTTCGCAAAGGAGGCCGACTCCTGCATCTGGAGGGCATGGCTGAGGCAGCACGGACACCTGGGAACAAAGTAGAGAACCATCCATGGAAGCTCTGGGCCTTGCTTCTGGATGGAAGATTAAATCGCCTTACAAGGAAAGTAAGCACCCAGGGACATGTGTTGGGTGAGTCCCATCTCTTGCTTACCTTCTATCTTGCAATCTCATTCATCTGGTCAATATTTATGGAGTTACAATTGTGCCAGACAATCAGGCAATTGAGTGATGTGTGAGACACAACCCTGCTTTTTAGGAATGTAGAGTAACTATAATATAAGATAGACAAGGGCCATCTGAAGGGTACAATTAGGAATTGTAGGGGTGCATATCTCTCCTGGTGAGACTAGGGTAAGTTTTGGAGAGGAATCTGCATATTTGAACTGGGCTTAAAAATCTCAAACTTGCAGGCACATTAGCATCTGAACTTTTACCTTTGTGTATGACTAATTTATTTTACAACCTGTCCTGTAAGTTGCATAATTACAGGTTAGGTTCTTTGTAGTAGAGCCAGAGCTAAAAAAAACCCTTTGGTGCTCAGAATCACTACCACATATGAAAGCCTCTTAAGGAATCTTAGGAATCACTAATTCAAATTCCCCTGTCTCTTACAGTAAGTAGAATAACTCCAGTGAACCCAAGGGGCCAAATAGTTAAGGCATGCCTGATTCTACTGCCCCAGTGCAAATCTGCTTTATGAAAGGAAAAGGAAAGGCAAACCCAGAGTCACATAAATGTTTAGAGAGGAGATTTGAATAAAACGTGGTCATAAGACTCATCGTAAGATGTCTTATGTTAGGCTAAATGATTTGTTTTTCTCTGCATTCATATGAAAAATAAGTATTTACTTACAAAAATGGAAGTAAATATGCTCAATAAATGAATCTCCGCTGTATTTCAGACAAAGGGTTGGAGATTTAAGTATCTGGGACATAAGTATCACCCTTGCTCCCTTTTACAGTCAACAAGTTAGATTAGTCTCTCACTCTGAAAGAACAAGGATGTAGTTATTTCCCATTGAGTCAGCTCAAAGTGCTTAGAGCCTTTTCCTCCAAGGAGCCAGGGTGCTGTTCACGGAAGTCCTAAAACCGGCTGGCCAAGCTCTGCTTCAGGAAATCAAAATGTGTTGGCCCTGACTTCTGTCTTTATTCATCTCACTTACCCCTAGAAGGTTCTTTAATTCCCTTTGACATTTCCATGGTTAATTCAGCAGTAGCTGATTTGGAAAGCTTCTTGAATGTGATATCACAATATACAGATTTTTCTAATTTAAAATAGCTAAGAGAAAAATTATAGACTGGCAATAATGGAAAAAAATCAGATGCCTACGACCTTAAAATACTTTTTAGCTTAAAGTCTGGGAATCTTCATAATGCATAGGATTAATTTTTCTTCATGCCTTCCTCACTCCTAGCCCAATACTCTTTTTGGAGAGATTTTTAAAGACTAAGAGCTGAGTACTTCAATGTCTGTCACCATTTTATCTGCATTTTCACAAGCGTTTTAGCAATCATGTGTGTCATCTCTTCCTCACCTCCCACAAATAGCGTGGGTTAAATGGAGCCATGGGAATTTTTTTAAAAAGTAACAATTCTGACTTTGGAATCTAAAAAGACATCGCTTACATTAAAAGCACATACACACCTACCATTGCAGCTGCCTGTGAATATTCCATAAGGCAGATGCCAGTGATTTGTGTTTTGGGTGTTATCCTTGATCTTCTGCTGTTTTGGAAGCAGTGTTTGAAATCAGATGTGTTGGGGAACTGACCTCATTACGTCATATGTGCTGAATCACTGTCCTACAACTCTTGTCTCCAAGGCACGGGGCAGATATCACGCTGTGATTGTACTGTCCTGGAAATATGTTCCAGTGAAAATCCTGGCACGCTTGTGGGACATTTTTACTGCTTTTTCTCATTGTTACAGTCATGTGATCAAGAAGATACTTTGTTCTTTATCTATCTCTGTCTCTGAATTTCTCTAACAATCTCTTTCTCTCTAAACATTGATCAAATGCTTTTTAAAATCCTTTCATTTGAAGCTAATCTAAGGACTTGCCTCACTACATCCCCAGTGTTTTGACTGTCCTCTAGTGGCTGTTTTCAATCATATTAGGTGTCAAAAAGGGAGTTGATCTTTTTGTTTCTTTACCATGTCTCAAATAAAAACCTGTGTGCTGGGAGTTGTCATTTAAGAATGTGATGCTTTCATGTTTGAAAAGAACAAGAAAATAATGACGAATTTTAATCTCTATTTTGCTTCATCTTTGCAGTTTGAAAACCCCAAACCTCTGAAATGCTAAATAAATTAACCCATATCTGTGTAGCCTCCATCAATGAATGTGATAGTGTAAGAATACTCATTTTTTTGAAGAACAAACTGCCTTTGTCTGCACCACTCAATTTAAGGGAAAACTACTTCTGGAATCCTATCCAAGCTCTTCATACTCTGAATAATGTCTACTGCCACTCTAATTATCAGCCAGGACGCTTATTTGTAATCACCCGCTTTCAATAATTTAAATAGGTAGTTGTTCAGCCAACTATTTTTATTCAAAATGTGACAAAAGCTAAAATTACATGTTGAATTTTATCCAGATGCTGTCTTCTTTTAGGACATGACTGCGAAGGCCAAGGGATTGTTCATTTTCTTATAAGTCAGAAGCACATCTTTACTTCATGAATCTAACCAGCAGTCTAAAACACAGCCTACAATTTATGTATCAGTTCAGTTGCTTACCAGAATCAGCAGGCAGGGCATTTTACGATTTAATTCGATGTGCTGAATCATCAAACATAACCACACCCAAGCTGTGTTATTCTTCAGATTTTAGAGATGAGCTTTTCACTGTCTGTCTGAATTTCAGCAAGGCTCATTTTGGCAGTTCCATTTTCCTCCAATAATAATGGCCACTTTGAATAGATTTGTCAATGTGACTGTCACTACTTAATATTTCTGTAAAGGCCCTTAACGTCTTTGGTCTAAATTTTTTTTTTATACCTTTGTATACAAAGTGAACCAACTTTTTCATCTCAGAAAGAATGAATCAGACAGAATCCAGATTCCTTAAGAAAAAATTTCTATTGTTTCATACTTTTTTTTTTTTAGTCCAGTAATTACCACCTTCCGGGCTGGCAAAGGAGGTCACTCTGAAAAGTCCCAGAGTTGCAAAATTACAAAATTGAGAAGTTAGGTTAAAGGTTTTTCTATTTTGTGAAATTTGCTAGATTTTGCCAAGCCCCTGTTTTTGCACCGAAAAAGTTTCAGGGAAAGCTTGTTATCCTTTGTCTGAGTCCTTGTTCAAAAACTCTCTATGGAGTAGTTAGTTGCTGTTAACGAATGGAAATGCAAACAGTTGCCTCAAAGCACCTCAGTGGTCCTTTTGTCAGTTCCCACTACGCCCCCCCTCTCCAGTTTCTCACCGTGGGTTTTCCAAATTTTCATCACTTTCTTCAAATCCACCCCACAACCCCCTGCAGTCACGATCACCAGATTACCTTGGCTCTTACCTCACAGAGGAAGTAGATTCTATTTACAAGAACTCCTTCAAGTTCCTTTCACTTTATGAACATACCTGCATTAGCTATCTCAGGAGCAGGGTTGGGGTTGGGGGCGAGGAGACTCTTCTGATTTTCCAGGACTAGTCCCTCTACCTCACTCCCATTTCCTCAGAGCCCTTACTCCACCCTTGTCTCTTCTCTTGCATACATCTTCAGTCTCCCACTGGTCACTGACTCAATTGGTTCAACATATAAACCTCCCAGAGTATTGATTTAGGGTCCATCAGAGTCCCTACTCCCAACTCCCTCCTGAATACAGAGGCCACAGGTGGCTCCTTTGACCAAAGTTGCCGTGTTTTCAGTTATGTGGCTCTGCCACGCCGGCTTCAAGGGATTGCATTATAGAGAGGGGCTGTAGCCAAAGGCAGCAGATGTAAGCACCATAGCCAAAGGCAGCTCAGATGTGAGAGCCATAACGGCATGGTGTCTGAGTCCTGGTTGGATTCCTGTTTGCAAGCAATAGGAAATGATTTTGGCTAATTTAACCTCAACAGAATATTTGCTGGAAGGATGTCTGTGGCTCAGATCTCTATAGGGACCTAGAAGACCTGGCTTAGAGAAGAGGCAGAAACCAAGGTGCTCTGAAGAGGTCTGCAGTGGGGAGCACAGCAAAAGTTATACAGGAGGAGCAGCATGTTCAACCTGCTGCCTCCACTGCTGCTCCTTTGATGGGGGTGGTCTTCAGCTGTCCTTATACTTGTCTGGCTAGCTGAGGCCAAGTGACATGCTTGCTCCATAGCCAGGCTAGGCATGGAGAGAGCGAGCACTGGCTCATTGGCTACTGTGTAGGATGTGGGTTCCATGCCTGTATCTGTAGAAGATCCCCCAGAAGGGAGATTGGAGTGTTAACAGGAGTTGGACGCTAGACAGTCCAAGCCAACCAATGATGATTACAGACGTTTCTCTAACACAATGAAAGGCTCTCGTGGCGAACATGAATGTGAGACAGAGAGGAGAGGAGAAGTGGAAAGCAGTAGAAATGGAGAAGCAATAGCAGAGAGAAGCAAAAATGAGAGACTCAGAGCAGGTGAGACAGACAGAAGTTGTGTCATGGAAATGGTAGAGTCACAAGAGTAGAGGGATGGATAGATGTTCACTCTTGGGGGTGGTGAGACAAATGGTGACCACAGGTGCTGGGTTGCTTGGGACACTTGAGCTAGCTCAATTCTGGAAGAGTAGATAGTGTTAACCTAGTTCATAGGCTTTGGAGTCAGAAAATGATGGAGGTCCCTGAGATTCATACCCCAGCCTAACACTCACCTGCTGGGTGATCTTGAACATATTTTTTAACTACATCCTCACTTTCCTAATCTGGAAAAATTATACTTACATTATTTGGTTGATGTAACAATAAAATGACAATACATATAAGTTCTTAGCATCGTTCTTGGCATATTGTATGTTAGCTATTATTATTATTATTTCATATCTTCCACGACTTTACCAATGCTATCCTATTTTTTTAAGATTTTATTTATTTATTTATTTATTTATTTGAGAGAGAGAGAGAGAGAGAGCACAAGTGGGGGGAGGGGCAGAGGAAGTGGGAGAAGCAGACTCCCTGCTG